GATTGTGACAAAAGCGTTATACGTTTTTGTTGGCAACTCGGCAAAGAAAATTTGGCCACATTTTCAAACCATTGTTAAAAATTTTAATTCAGTTTAAAATAATTGTATCGAAAGTATTGTTAATGTTATTCAATACAAGAGTTATACTGTATTGAGAGATAGAAGTTTGTAATACAGTATAAATTAGGATTCAGGACTCGGTCTCAATCTCCACAACCAAAGAACCCCTTCGGAGGAGGAGGTAGTGGTAGTGGCAGAGGTGGTCCCGGAGGACAATTCTAGACACCATTTCCACACATTTGTCTGTGAATCCAAAATTCGTTCATTTCATGCATTATTTGATTGACATTTCATTTATTTCTAATTACCAAAAGATTTCTACATTTGAGCCTCAATTTCGTCTAAATTCTTCATTTTATTACTTTTGTCTTTATTTGAATACAATTTGATTGTCATTTAAAACTCATTAAAAACCAATTGAAAAATCATATTGAAATACAAATTTATTGACAGAATATCTATAAAATAGTGATTTTATATTACAATTATATGACAAACAAAATACGAGAAATTAAGTGAAATCATAACTCAATACATAATGAATGACATGTGAATAGGGGTTCGCAAAGAGCGATGCCTTCGTTCAAAAGCACAAAACAGCAAAAGAATCGGTTGCGGCAATGGATGGCCTAAAAGGCCAACTTCTTCATCAATAGGTACACGTGTTTGTCGGTCTCAAAGCCGTGAAGATTGTTGGGATCGCCTTGAAGTCGCATCAATAGACCCCCAAACGAGACATAAGCGGCCAGTCGTGTGGCTTCTGAGAGGCCGTCATCGCCTTCGATGCGGTATATCTTTCCGTACATCACGTACTCAAAGCTGTCCGCACGCGAAGAGGTCTGTTCGCTGGCCGTCCACTCGCCGTCATCGGGATATCCGTCTTCGCGTAGAGTCGAGGCGACCACTAAACGAAACTTATCGCCCAAATCCATGGGATAGACCTGAATGTTCACGTCTAGAATCAGATCCATTTTGAACGACTCGCTCTCGCAGTGAAGTCGAGACACGCGGTCAAACTTCTTGCCCTCCGGATCCAAGTCCTTCACGTCGAAGATATCCTCAAACAATATACCACTCATTGTCTCCACTAATGGTTTGCTTCTTCTTGTGTTCGCGCAGACACTTCTATCACTTCTTCCTCTAAAGCGATGATTTCAATGATTGTGTTTGTCTTGTAGTCACCAAAAAACGGATCCAATGTGTGGTAAATGTGTTGATAAAAGCGATGATTACAGTAATGGGCAAAAAACGTGTGTTTTGTTTGTGTTTCAAACGGTGAGTGAATTTGTGACACAAAAATGCATTCATTTGTATAAAACATAAAACGTTTAGTTTTTTTGTTTTGTTACAAAACTTTTGTCGCTTTGTTTTAATTGCGGTTTTAATTGAATGCGAGAAACGTTTTGTACATTTTAATGAGTGAAACATTTAACAAAACATGTTTTAATAATACATTTCTATAAATACATGCAATTATTTGAATGTATTGCTAAATTCAGACCCAATTTGAAGCAATAGTTAACGTAATAAATGGTTTATTGAGTCTCTAATAATGTATTGATGTTTACATTGAAGTGCTTTAAACACCCATTCATTCAATGGTCTGTCAATTAATGCCAAAATCAAAGACATATCACTTATTGTCCGACATATGGCTAACCCTTTCGGAGACTCGGATGACGAGTACAGTCGACCACCGGATGAGGTGTCTGTGAAAGAGGGCCTCTTGTGTCCGGTCTGTCTCTTAGACCTGAAGACAATCAGCGAATTGAGGGATCACTTCGAGACCAACCATAAGAATGAGTTCATTTCACAGACCAATCAAACCAAACAAATCGGTTCTCAACTCAAAGGTCTTCTCAATAAGACAAAGAAGATCCTCAAGAATGACAACAACGTCTCCATCGACGACAACGACTCCATGGCCTCCAACTCTGGCCAGTCTTACGTCGAGCTCTGGAGGAAACAAATGAGAATTGGTTTGTAAATGGATTCACTTCTTGTGATTGTTATTTGAATGTGTTTTGCATTCTTCAGGTGAGACACGGAATCATTTCGATTACTTCCGTCGTATCCGTGACTCACGGATAGAGAGACAAGTGATTGAGACAAACAAACTGCTCATCCGTTTGGATAAACTGATAACAGAAGCGCCTAAAGAGACGGAGAAGAGAAAACTTCACGAGAAGAGCGTTGTCTTGTGGGCCAACGACGATGACGTCCCGATGTGTCCCAATTGTGCCAATCGTTTCAATCACATCACCCGAAGGAGACACCACTGCCGACTCTGTGGAGGAATCATGTGTCACAACTGCTCACAGTTTCTCGACTTTGTTTACGCCCGTAAGACATGACTGATTTTACGGAGACATTGATTCCATCAATGATTATCTATTCGGAGATATAATTATCTAATATCTGGTCTTATCTTTAGGTAAACTCATTAGTCCAACGAATTTAGAAGAAAGCAGTATTTCTTTGATTCCGAAGACTAATCTAACCCGTCGTGGAAGTAGTAGTAGTTTGTTATCAATCGTCAACTCGAGCGGCGATCCGCACATCAGAGTCTGCAGAGACTGTAAAACATTGTTGAATAAAAGGGATCAACAAATAGAAGACATTAATTTCAAACCCATTTTAAGCCAATTTTATGACCGAATGCGCGAACAAATCAAAGACATTGAAAGATTGGCTCCACTTTTCTTCCAAATGAATGATTCTTTGAGGTATTGCTTATCAAGTGATTAACTCTTCATATAATTCATGCTTTGTTTGCCTATAGTTTGGGTGAAACTAACTATAATTTAACGGACGCTCAAGAATTAAAACTCAAATTAACAAAATTGGCCGAAAATGTCGATAGTATTAGGTATTGAGTAGTTTTACAAAGAAATTGAGTTTTGTTATAATTGTGAAACATTTGCATTGAAATTAAGCCGAAAGATCGCAACTCACGGCACTCAAGAGGAGCGACCGCCGCATCCAAAGCAGCTTCAATTGCAGAACTCTATTCGTTCCTCAGTTACGCACTTCTTGAGACAAACAATGCTAGGATTGCCAACACTTCCAACACCTGATGAGTTGAAGAAACTTCAGGACCAAAGAAGAGCTGAAATTGAGAAACGAATTCAATTCGAGAAACAATTAGCACTCGAAGAGCAGAAAAAGTTCTCCGTTTCGCCCAAAAAGCAAAACATAAGTTTAAATAATAATTATTCGGAAACCAATACAGAGGAGGAGATAGTTGTGTCTCCCGATGACGGCTGGACTCCAATGACCTCTAAATCTCGGCGACGAGTGGAAGAGCAGAACAGTGATAGTGTGGACCCGATGTTACAGCAAATCAATATAATCCGCAATTATATACGTCAGGCCCGAGAGGCGCACAAATACGATGAGTTGCATATGTTAGAGGACAACCTCAAGGAACTCGAGATCGAGTATTTCCTTCAACAACACGGAAATCACACACAAAACTCAACCAATGCTTAACACAAATGTTTCGTTTTTCTTCTGATATAACAAAAACCAATTGATTGTAATATTTACAAAAGAAAGACAATTGTTTTCCATTTTATTTTATTGTTATTCAATGCATTCAAAGTTAAGGCCTCGCGTATTATGGCCTCCAATGATGGGCTGAATTATCGTTACATAAATTATACGAAACTGTTTATTCAATTACAGTATTCCTCAAAATATATGTGATTTGTTTTCAATTCCGACTCTTTTCTCATTCAAATTATGGCTACAATTCAAATGTTATTTAAAGTGTTTACGAATTGAGATCTAATATATAATTTTCGATAATATTTTGTTAATTACAAGGTTTTGCACAACAATTATTGGATTCATTTTATAGTTTAATTTTCAATGAGAATAGTTTTAATCGGTTTCTGACTTTGTTTCATATTTTAATTTATTTATAAATACAGATTAAATCACACTATAATTTATGCAATTCTTTACCTTTTTATGCAAATAAATCTCTTCAACAAAATGCTATTACTATTCATTAATTTATTCATTTTTAGTGATGTCTTCAGATATAAAACAGTGATTTTGACGACTTTTAATGACTACATAGCGATTAAACACAATTGAAAACAGCAGTAATTGTTAATAAAGGCTAAGAAGTGTTGGCTTTGGGGTCTTTCCAGTACTTCCGCTGTTGATTGAGGAAAGGCCTGTGAATGGGCTCATAGACCGGTTCGGCACTGCCTTCGATGATAGCCTTCTCCTCCTTCTCCAAGTCCTCCTTCAAGAAGTTGAAGTACTTTCCTCTCATAGTTTTGTCTGTTGATTGAGGAAAGGCCTGTGAATGGGCTCATAGACCGGTTCGGCACTGCCTTCGATGATAGCCTTCTCCTCCTTCTCCAAGTCCTCCTTCAAGAAGTTGAAGTACTTTCCTCTCATAGTTTTGGGCAATTGTATGACTCCAGGACACGGACACTGACCAGGGATTGAACACATGCACCACCGCTTGGCCTTAAAGGCAAAGAGTGCCGGATTCTCCTCAGCGGTGATACTCTTCTCCATGGCGTGGATCTCTTCTGTTTTGCCCAACGTTTTGTTCAATTGGTCTAAAATCTCGTGTCTGTTCTTAGAGTCACAGTCGAAGAGCACATCCCGACCGTCTTCGAGCCAACACCGGATGAATGGATTGGGAAACTTCTCCAAATGTCTCATTATCTGCACCTCTGGATTCATGTATTGGATTTGTGGCACATTCCAGAAGTAGAACTCTCTGTCAAAGACAGCAACCGTTATATATTTGAATCAACTGGTGATCAGTCGATGCATACCTGAGCCCGACGTGAGCGTCATATTGATGTGGTTTATGTGATCCGTCTTTTCGCCAATACTTCCAATACATGTTATAATTCACTTCCATTATCTTCACGCGGTTTCTGAACAGCAGTTTCCCCGAAGACAGGTATGGAATGGTTCGCCGGATGGGCGCCGGACCGAAGAAGAAGGGCATAACTGGTCCGTTGGAGGAATCGGTTACAACCCTATGTCAATCAATGCCAATGTCCTCCGAAGTGGCAATCAATCAGATAATCAAACCTTTTATTATGGGATCAACTGTTTTGTCAACAATACCATGCATTCAATGTATTCATACATAAATCACGTCCGAAAACAAAACTTTAATACAATTACTAAATGTACTGTAATTGTAATCAACAGTTAATTAAATTGACATTTGATTACAATTTCAGCTTAAAATAACTGTGTGTTTAGTGTTAATATCTGTTATAGCATTAAAATGATCAAACATTGACCGCAATCACCAATTGGATCAATTAAATCTTTGTATTAACATATGATTGGTATAAATATGTTAAACGGCGACCAATTGACTGGCCGTATGTAAGATCACTCTTTAGACCACAATTAAAACTTAACATTAAAATAATGAGAAATAAGTAGATTTTGAGTCAAGAAATTATCGCATTTATTAAGACATTAAATTGAATGACAAATACATGTGAACAGCGATGACAACACATGTGTCGGCCATTATCTTAATCTTCGGGCCTCTCTCTCGGACTCGAGGAGTGTGAGGACATCGCCTTCACGGACGGGTCCCTTCACGTTGCGAATGATGGATCTGTTGTCGTCCAAGAACTCCACTCTCACTTGAGTGCACTGTCCCTGAGATCCAGTCCTTCCCAACACTTTCGTCACTTTCGCTAACTTTATTTTGTCCATCGCTTACAACCCTATCAGACATACCATTCGGTTAAGCGTTAATTGTATGTAAAGAGAGACCCGTTTAAGTGATACTCACGTCAAATGTCTTCGCAATAAATGGTAAACAAATGTGAATTCAAACGAAATGAATGAACGCTCAGAAGGAAAGGGAAGACAACGTGTTTTGGAGGCACTAAACGGGACTCACTATAAATTACATACAGATATCAAACATTCAATTTGCAGTCAAACTAAATCTGTTATTTGTTTCAATTCATTATAAAATGTTTTAATTTAGACAAAATTAACTAAATGTGATCTAGTTCAATTTTAAACAATTTATAATTATTTGTATTTAATTGTAATGAACATGATTACAATTAAACGGCAATTATTAGCACTCATTAATAAATAACGTGTTTATGTAATGCCGGCAGAGGTTGTGAGCAGTGATGAGACGATCCCTCTTAAGCCACACGTCTATAGTTTGAGTTCCCTTTCCTGTCGAGTATTGAGTGAGAAATGCCAGGACTTAGTAATAAGGTTTGTCTTCGTCACCATTTACTGATCCACTCAGCAATTGGTCACTTCTTCGATACTAATTGTCTTTTCTATTGACTCATTAGCCGTTGATTATCGACGGACGCGGACACCTGTTGGGTCGCTTGGCCTCAACTGTGGCCAAGACTTTACTCCAAGGTATGTCTTTCCCACGCTTTCCACCATTGAGTCCACAATTGATAGTATCTTCAGACACACCAATTGTCTCACCATTTAATCCGATTGAGTATTACTTGTATTGATATCTTGAGGTAGTGTTTAGTGAATTGAATTAGTATTTGGCGGCAATTGTTGTGTTTGAGGTGTGAAATGATGATATAATCACCACGTTGTTTGACAACCCATGATATGCTTACTTTACATGCACTACCATCTGATCCACTCTTTATTGAAACTATTATTTGTTTAATATTTGTCCACAGAATTGAATGTCTAATGAATTGTTTATAATTGCAATTACAGGTCAGAAGGTTGTTGTCGTCCGATGCGAGGCAATCAATATTTCGGGCAGTTTTTACCGAAACAAATGTAAGACATCTATTGATTTATCGATACAATGGTTGATATCTCCAGACATTTAAGACTTCAATCGCGTATTTGATATATTTTTTCATTTCAAACTTCTCTTAAACACATGGTTTTGCGATCACATGTTGTATTGAAAGTTTTAGTTGACTTTAAAGTTAGACATAAACTAATTGAATGATTGTCTTAAATGTCTGGTCATTGATATCTGGATATATGATGGCCGGAAATGATGTGTTTTTACCTACATTATCTGAAATAAATGTCGATCCAAACCTTGGAGATCTGATCCAAAATGCCATCAAAACCCCTAATAATTAGCTTAAAATAGTTGTCGAAAATGTATTAATAGTGTATTTGTTGTGATATTTCAGTGAAGTATTTGTCGTTTTTGCGTAAGAAGTGTAATGTGAACCCATCGCGTGGTCCGTACCACTATCGCGCCCCGAGTAAGATCTTCTGGTCGTCCGATGCGAGGCAATCAATATTTCGGGCAGTTTTTACCGAAACAAATGTAAGACATCTATTGATTTATCGATACAATGGTTGATATCTCCAGACATTTAAGACTTCAATCGCGTATTTGATATACTTTTCATTTCAAACATCTCTTAAACACATGGTTTTGCGATCACGTGTTATATTGAAAGTTTTAGTTCAACTAATTTGGTTGACTTAAAGTTAGACATAAACTAATTGAATGATTGTCTTAAATGTCTGGTCATTGATATCTGGATATCTGATGGCCGGAAATGATGTGTTTATACCTACATTATCTGAAATAAATGTCGATCCAAACCTTGGAGATCTGATCCTAAATGCCATCAAAAACCCTAATAATTAGCTTTAAATAGTTGTTGAAAATGTATTAATAGTGTATTTGTTGTGATATTTCAGTGAAGTATTTGTCGTTTTTGCGTAAGAAGTGTAATGTGAACCCATCGCGTGGTCCGTACCACTATCGCGCCCCGAGTAAGATCTTCTGGCGCACCGTTCGAGGAATGCTTCCGCATAAGATCAAACGCGGCGACAAAGCGCTCGACAATCTCCGTGTCGTCGAAGGCATTCCTCCGCCGTATGACAAGAAGAAGCGACTCGTCGTTCCGTCGGCTCTTCGTATCGTTCGACTCAATCCCCGACGAAAGGTATGCTTTGAATGATTTGATGGATTGATTGGTTGTAATTGTTGTTTAACATTGAATTGTTTGCATTCGTATAGTACTGTTCTGTGGGCCGTCTGTCCCATGAGGTCGGCTGGAAGTATCAGTCGGTGATCGAGACATTAGAGCTGAGACGGAAGGCGAAGGCAGCGATTCGGTTCTCGAAGGTCAAGAAAGACGCCAAACTGAGAGCTGAGGCCAAGAAATCGTTGGAAACAAGACTGAAACCATTGACGGATCAAATCAAGGCTTTCGGTTATGATGTCTAATAAATTCTTGTATTCGCTTTGAAATAATAAAAACAATTGATTTAATTTTAAAATCAACATTTAATTTACAATGTGTTGAATATATTGATAACAAATGGTTTAAAAAGTGATATTTATTTTAGTAAAAAGTTATATTAAAACTATTGGTTATTATATATAATGTATTGAATGTTTGTATGGATAGAAAACAATGTCCAGACAAGCAATTGATTCTATAATAAGTCAAATCAAAAGTTTGGCACTAAATTAAAGACAATGTGCTTTAAAACTATTGGTTATTATATATAATGTATTGAATGTTTGTATGGATAGAAAACAATGTCCAGACAAGCAATTGATTCTATAATAAGTCAAATCAAAAGTTTGGCACTAAATTAAAGACAATGTGCTAAACGGTATCCAACAGGCGGTGCTATTTCTTATTTTTGAGGGGATCGGGTGGCGTCAAACTGGTCACGCCATCCAACCACGTGGAAGCGATGATTTTGTCAATACTAATGCGATGGTTGAAACGGTGTTCGAGGCATCGGGTGATGAGATCCCAGGCCGGAGAGCCTTTCGGTATGGATTCGGGGAACTGTATGTCTTTTTTGGTCATTTTGTTAATCACATCCGTTAACTGTGAGATATACTCTTCGTTGGAAGGCTTTGGATCGCAAATGTTTGGGTTCAGCGGCACTAAAAACGGGTATTCGGCGGTCAGTAAGCGGTAGGCAATAACGCCGAGCGCCCAGCAGTCGGCGGGCATTGTTTTATAATCCACAAGTGGTTTGCTCTGAGCTTTTAACAGAACATTTCTGAGAATTTCGGGACACCAATAGGCACGGGTGCCGACCGCTCTGTTGTCCCACTCGTATCCGGTCTCGTTCTTGTAAGCGGTGGCCAACATACCAAAGTCAGTCAGTTTGCAGACCTTTGTCGACTCGCCTTTGCGTCTGAATACGAGCACATTATCGAGTTTGAGGTCGCGATGCGCTTTGCCGTTCTTATGCAGGTATCGCATACCGGAGCAGATCTGTCCGAAATAGTTTTTGGCTGTCGTTTCGTTCAATACTCGACAGGAAAGGGAACTCAAACTATAGACGTGTGGCTTAAGAGGGATCGTCTCATCACTGCTCACAACCTCTGCCGGCATTACATAAACACGTTATTTATTAATGAGTGCTAATAATTGTCGTTTAATTGTAATTATGTTCATTACAATTAATACAAATAATTATAAATTGTTTAAAATTGAACTAGATCACATTTAGAGTTAATTTTGTATAAATTAAAACATTTTATAGTGAATTGAAACAAATAACAGATTTAGTTTGACTGCAAATTGAAAGCTTGATATTTGTATGTAATTTATAGTGAGTCCCGTTTAGTGCCTCCAAAACACGTTGTCTTCCCTTTCCTTCTGAGCGTTCATTCATTTCGTTTGAATTCACATTTGTTTACCATTTATTGCGAAGATATTTGACGTGAGTATCACTTAAACGGGTCTTTCTTTACATACAATTAACGCTTAACCGAATGGTATGTCTGATAGGGTTGTAAGCGATGGACAAAATAAAGTTAGCGAAAGTGACAAAAGTGTTGGGAAGGACTGGATCTCAGGGACAGTGCACTCAAGTGAGAGTGGAGTTCTTGGACGACAACAGATCCATCATTCGCAACGTGAAGGGACCCGTCCGTGAAGGCGATGTCCTCACACTCCTCGAGTCCGAGAGAGAGGCCCGAAGATTAAGATAATGGCTACACATGTGTTGTAATCGCTGTTCACATGTATTTGTCATTCAATTCAATGTCTTAATAAATGCGATAATTTCTTGACTCAAAATCTACTTATTTCTCATTATTTTAATCTTAAGTTTTAATTGTGGTCTAAAGAGTGATCTTACAGTATATACGGCCAGTCAATTGGTCGCCGTTTAAGACATTTATACCAATCATATGTTAATACAAAGGTTTAATTGATCCAATTGGTGATTGCGGTCAATGTTTGATCATTTTAATGGTATAACAGATATTCACACTAAACATACTTTGCGTTATTTTAAGCTGAAATTGTAATTAAATGTCAATTTAATTAACTGTTGATTACAATTAATAATTGTAATAAAGTTTTGTTTTCGGACGTGATTTATGTGTGAATGCATTGAATGCATGGTATTGTTGACAAAATAGTTGATCCCATAATAAAAGGTTTGATTATCTGATTGATTGCCACTTCGGAGGACATTGGCATTGATTGACATAGGGTTGTGACCGAACCCTCCAACGGACCAGTTATGCCCTTCTTCTTCGGTCCGGCGCCCATCCGGCGAACCATTCCATACCTGTCTTCGGGGAAACTGCTCTTCAGAAACCGCGTGAAGATAATGGAAGTGAATTATAACATGTATTGGAAGTATTGGCGAAAAGACGGATCACATAAACCACATCAATATGACGCTCACGTCGGGCTTAGGTATACATTGACTGATCACCAGTTGATCCAAATATATATATAACGGTTGTTGTCTTTGACAGAGAGTTCTACTTCTGGAATGTGCCACAAATCCAATACATGAATCCAGACGTGCAGATAATGAGACATTTGGAGAAGTTCCCCAATCCATTCATCCGGTGTTGGCTCGAAGACGGTCGGGATGTGCTCTTCGACTGTGACTCTAAGAATAGACACGAGATTTTAGATCAATTGAACAAAACGTTGGGGAAAACAGAGGAGATCCACGCCATGGAGAAGAGTATCACCGCTGAGGAGAATCCGGCCCTCTTTGCCTATAAGGCCAAGCGGTGGTGCATGTGTTCAATCCCTGGTCAGTGTCCGTGTCCTGGAGTCATACAATTGCCCAAAACTATGAGAGGAAAGTACTTCAACTTCTTGAAGGAGGACTTGGAGAAGGAGGAGAAGGCTATCATCGAAGGCAGTGCCGAACCGGTCTATGAGCCCATTCACAGGCCTTTCCTCAATCAACAGAGGAAGTACTGGAAAGACCCCAAAGCCAACACTTCTTAGCCTTTAGTTAACAATTACTGCTGTTTTCAATTGTGTTTAATCGCTATGTAGTCATTAAAAGTCGTCAAAATCACTGTTTTATATCCGAAGAAATCACTAGAAATGAATAAATTAATGAATAGTAATAGCATTTTGTTGAAGAGATTTATTTGCATAAAAAGGTAAAGAATTGCATAAATTATAGTGTAATTGAATCTGTATTTATAAATAAATTAAAATATGAAACAAAGTCAGAAACCAATTAAAACTATTCTCATTGAAAATTAAACTATAAAATGAATCCAATAATTGTTGTGCAAAATCTTGTAATTAACAAAATATTATCGAAAATTATATATTAGATCTCAATTCGTAAACAATTTAAATAACATTTGAATTGTAGCCATAATTTGAATGAAAAAGGAGTCGGAATTGAAAAGAAATCACATATATTTTGAGGAATACTGTAATTGAATAAACAGTTTCGTATAATTTATGTAACGATAATTCAGCCCATCATTGGAGGCCATAATACGCGAGGCCTTAACTTTGAATGCATTGAATAAC